GAAGACAATTGTATAAATGCTAATCTGTGGCAAGACAATACAGGTTTGCTCATAGTGCTTCACTCATTTTATTGTTACAAAAGTTCTTTTTATATGATACTTGGGGAATAGGAAACACAAAATATTTCTCCTTATATCAATTCCCAAATCCATATGTTTACAAGCTAAACAGCTAAACAACAATGACAACTGCAACCAAAACATAACCAGGTATTGTAGGGGGCACCTGTAGTCCCAGCTACTGGGAGGCTGAGGCAAGAGAACTGCTTAAGCCCAGGAGTTTGAGGTTGCTGTGAGCTATGATGTCATAGTACTCTACCAACGGTGACACAGTGAGACTCTGTCTCAAAAAAAAAGACAACCGGTGGGAAACAGTCTAGACAGAGAAGTAAGACAAATATCAGGATTTGGAAATCATCAACATATCATCAAAGCTATTAAAGTTGGAAATTTTTGTTCATTGGTTTTAGCATCAAAAGATCATCAGAAACTGTGTCAGTGGAGCTGCAGGACAGAAGAGAGAGTGCAGAAGGCGAAAGAGTAAATAAGTGGAAGGAAAGAAAACTTCAGGTTAAAAACAGGATTAAAGTATGGAAATGAAATCTACAAGGAACTTACAGTCTTAGTGATATGTAAGACCTTACACTAATTCAGATTAGTGTTCAAAAGAAAGTGTGAGGACAAAAAGGGCAAGTTTTACTAGATGGTGGGAGGTTGCAGTATATATTTCCAGAAGTAAAATTATTCTGGTCATGCTGAGGTTCAGCCTTACAAAAGGGCACTGGACAGAACTGGATATAAAAGTTACCGAACTAAAGGAACAGGTTGTTCACTAAAGCAAAGAACATTTAAAGAATGACAGCAGACTAGGGCATAAAAAGGAAGAACTGAAGCTTGCACTCAAGCTCTCCATGATTGCAGAGGGACCACCAAAAGGTTGACAGAATGCAGTGAGAAGAAAAAAACAAACATCATAGTAAAAAAGCATTTTTACACCTCAAAGAAACAGAGACGTAATACATTATAATTTATAAAAGGGACACCACCACACTCCCCAACCCATGATGTATGGTGAACAATTTGAACATGAGAAGTTTTCACTTAAGATTCCAATGTTACCTTACTAAGTACATAGAGTTAATTTTCTTAACTTTATTTCTGACTTCAAGACTCCAAATGGAATTCTGGGTACATTTTACCCAACTACAAATATGGTTTATCACCCAGTCTAGTATCCAAGAGACTTCGCTGAAGATTCTAAATAAAACAAACACTTTTTATTAGCTTGCTGGTTTGTTTAGGGGGTAGGGTTTACAAAGATGAACTCTGAGTATGATACTGGACAAGGTGGCACTGAGACCAGCCACCTTGGCCCTGGATCTGTTGCTGTTGCAGCAAATGGAATGGAGGAATTTGGCCAGACACAGCAGGGAAGACACTGGCGCCATGCTGTCTCTTCACCTGGACTTCTGGCAATTCCTCCAGTACATCCCTGATTGGTCTGTTTCCAAAACCTGCTCCTGATTGGTCTGTCTTCAAGACCTGAAAGTTCATTGGTTACCTGCCACTATGTAAGCCCCTAAGCAGAGAGCCCAAACACGGACCTCCAAAAGAGAGCAAGGAGGTTTGGTTCTTTGTGAGAGCTGTAACGCTTGTATTATAAAACCCATCTTACTGCTGATCCTGCTCTGCAAGGAGGTTTGGTTCTTTGTGAGAGCTGTAACATTTGTATTGTTAAAGAAAACCTAACCTAACGTACTGCTGAGCCTGTGGTCCGAACCGTCAAGACCAAGAGCCTGGATCAGATTTGGTGAGCCAGCCAGAAGGAAAGACCAAGTTCCAGGAAAGATGGTGGACAGAAGACATCCATGATAAGTAATGGGGCCGTTTACTTCTGTCCTATTTTTCTCTATCCTTATCCTACTGGAGATTGCCCACCAGCTTGAAAATATGTGTAGTGTGAATACTGACTTCCAGTTCATAGGCAAGGGGAGCAAACTTTCTAATTCCCCTTGACTTCAGAAAGGAGGCAAAGGGACTGTCGGAAGAATTTTGAATCTAGCCTCTGTTTATTCCTTTTCCCTGGTTGAGAGCCAAGTATGGAGGTAACACCCAGAGAGGCCCTGGGGTCCCAGCAATGATTCTGACTCCAGGACTTGGGAGGGCCTTTCAAAACTTGTGCTCTCCTAGCTTTTACTATTTTCTTTTCTCCTCTATGGTCCCAAAATTTTTCTGTTTTCTGCAGACCTCTTCTAGTTCTCTCCCTCTCCTTGATTGTACATATGCTTCGTGTGAAAGTAAGTAGGAATTATTCATATATTTAGTTAATTTTGTAAAAGTATTCTGGTTTTTTAGAAGTGTGTATTAGATGTTTAAGTGGGGCTTTAAATGTTATAGGTATGCTGTAAGGTCCTTTTTATTGCCTTGCATTGCAGAACTAAATTAGATTGACTTTTTAATGTGTCTGAGAAAAAAAAAAAGACTGAACTTTGTTAACTAGTCAACTCCAGATCAAGGGCAAGATGACTCCCCTCCACAGTTTGCCTGGGCAACCAGAGGCCTGTGAAGAGAAGCCCGGAATGACTCCCCTAGGTGGGAATGGTCCCAAACCTTGTCTAGCACTCATAACCCAGGTATTTGATTTCTTCTGGTATGGGGATGTTTGGGAGAATTCTAGGTTTGTCTAGGACTTGGACTACGTGCAATAACTAATGGTAATACAAAGAGTCTCAATGGGTCTCTCAACTCAACTCTGACTTGTACCTAATTGAGTAGTGTTGCAAATCTTTGGGGAAAAAAGGGGGGGTGGTGGTGGTTAAAAGATGTAGCATTTAAGCCTGTGGGGAATTTAGAAAAAGCTTGCACGAATTCTATAGTGTTAAATGTGCAAATGTTGCATAACCATTTTCTCCAGGATAGGGCTCATCCCCACTTTGATTGATATTCTGAAGCTAATGGGGGGAAGGGGCTGAAAGGGGGCAGAATATATGTATCAGGTGGAACCAAGGCTCCCTGGACCTGATTTCTTGGAGCTGTGCTGCTGGCACGATATAAGCACAGGAGAACCAGCGGGCACTATGGGCTCCAATGGTAAGAGTGGCTAACTCCAGACAAGCACAGGGGCTGAGGAGGCTACTCTCCTCCAGGTTTCTCCCCCAAACATTGGAGGGACACCTCCTTTTGTTTGGTTGGATGGCTTCTTGGGTTGGTCAGAGGACGCTCTGGATGACTCAGGAATATGGGGTGAGACTGATTAAGACGCTGGCCATTTGTTCTTTCTCACAGATGGGTGGCATATTCTCTCGTCAAAAGAACACCCTGCTGGGCTGTATTCTGGAGCAATGGGACATGTTTGATCCCCAGGCGCTGAAAAAGGAATGTATTAATTTTCTTCTGCACCCAGGCCTGGCATCAGTATCAACTCTCCACTGGTGAACAATGGCCCCAGGGGGTACTCTTAATTATAACACCATTTCCCAACTGGATGCATTTTGTAAACAAGAAGAAAAGCAGTCTGAGGTATCCTATGTGCAAGTGTTCTTTACCCTCAGAACCAGACCCCCACAATTGTGTGAGGCCTGTCAAGAACTCTTAAGGGAGATACCATTACCACCTAGATCAAACCCACCATCTCCTACTCCCACACCTTTCATGTGTCCAGAAGACCCTGCAAGGAAGGCCATCCCAAGAGTATTTCCTGGTCCTGCAGGGGCCCCCAGAAGGCAACCATATCCTTCTTTGTGTCCCTTAGTTGAGACTGCTACGGGTGAAAGGGGAACTGCACAAGTATACACACCATTTTCTTTAACAGATTTAAAGCAAATTAAAGTTGATTTAGGAAAATTTTCCGATGACCCCAATAAGTACATAGATGTTCTCCAGGGGTTAGGACAAAGCTTTGACCTCACTTGGAGGAACATAATGTTATTACTAGATCAGACATTAACATTTAATGAAAAGAATGAAGTCCTAGATGAAGCAAGGAAGTGGGGTAATTTATGGTTCATATCCAATACTGATGGTGGTATGTCTCCTGGGGAAAGGGACAGATACCCCATGGGAAGACAAGCAGTTCCCTTTCAAGATCCTGAATGGGACCCTGAAGGGGAAGGTGACTGGTCCCATAAACACTTCCTAACATGTATTCTAGAAGGTTTACGCCAATCCAAGTAAAAGCCTGTGAATTATGCCAAGTTATCTGCTATTTGCCAGGAGCAAAATGAAAGTCCCTCCACCTTTCTTGAGCGGCTTAGGGAGGCAATGAGAAAACACACCCAATTGACACCCGACTCCATAGAGGGCCAAAGTATTTTAAAAGATAA